AAAGTTTCTCTGCCTCTAAAAATTACCAAAACTTTCTGCAAAACAAGACCATAAAAATAAAATGTTTGTGGATTTTTATGTTCCTACATCATTTGAACATGGCAGTCCTTTAGATTTCATGATGAATGAAACAGAAATGCTCAAAAATTAATTAAAAGAATCTCTTTACATTAACTGACATTAAAGGTTAAGAACATTTTTGCCTTCTCCTATAAAGTTGCTAATTTTTTTACTTTTGGACATAGACAATATACATGTTACAACTCTTAAAACTCACTAAAGACACTGCACCTGTACCTGACTTAGTGCAAGAATTTAGATCCAAAGACACTAAAGAATTCTCTTCTTTCTTCACAGTCAACTTTGACCACTTCCAGATCCTGAGAGCGATCGGAAAGGGCAGCTTTGGAAAGGTAAGTGTCTGTTTTTGGATTTCTCAGAACACAGCAATTCTGTTAACAGGTGAAAATCAAGACAAAGTGATTCCTCAATTACCTTCACACATCGATCCTGGCCAAAAGCTCATGAGTGTAGATCAAGACTTAAAAGACTGATTTAATTAGAGGACTGAAGATAAACTACAGCTGATATCCTCATCTGTTTCTTTCCTTTTAATTACTACCCTATTGACTAGACAGTACAGTCTGATAACAGTGTTCAGACGGACTATTTCTCTTTATTGAAGTGTCGGTTCTTCAGGGAGATCCAGTTTAAAGACTCTGAGCCAGGTTCATTATTACCCTGTAAGGAGCACATTTGTTCACTCAGATGTTTCACGTGTTTTGTCAACTTGGAATGCATTAGAGTGGTGTTCAAATGTGTCTATAGGAATAGTTTGCACACACCATGCATTGATGACGCAGCTATAGGAGAAATCAGGGTTACATCACAACAGCAAATAACTGACTTCCGGGTGGATGATGCAGGTAGCTGCGATGGACTGGTGACCTGTCCAAGGTATATCCTGCCTTCCGCCCAATGACAGCTGGGATAGGCTCCAGCACCCCACCACAACCCAGAAGGATAAGCGGTTTAGATGATGTATGTATGTATGTATGTATGTATGTATGATGCAGGTAGCGCTGCATTGGTACAGCAAGATTTTGTACTAATCGTGAGATCTAAAGAACCAAGATCAACCAAGAACCAAGAAAAAACAAGCTTCAAACAGATCAGTCAGTGAGTGTGTTAACATGCACTTAACAATCCGATGACTGCAGAAAATCAGATTTTGTCAGTAATCTGATCAACACGTTTACATGCACTTGAGTAATCAGATATTGGGGAAACTCTGGGTCTTCATGAGTCAGACAGTAATCAGATTTCTACTTTGCACCCACCAATAAACTCACAGAAGAAGACGTGACGTAAACGTAATGTAAACTCAAACTTCATGCTGCAGCTTTTTTTAAACATCGAGCCACTTTACCTGAAAATATGAACATACATCATCTAGAAGATGAAGAATATTTAAGTCCTGTATTCCGTGTTTGGTTTCAGCGTCGCTCCAGAAGTGTTTTGTTGCGTCTCACGGCAACACTGCTGGTACCGCTGTCTATAATACAGAAATATGATCACTGAGATAAAATCCAGCCCTCCTTATGGGAATTCTTAATCAGATTTCTAGATCCGAGTATGGTGTTTACATGACCATTTGAATAATCAGATAACTGCAGAAATATGATCGGATTATGTGCATAAGAATGCACACAATATTGTCAAAATATTTTGTGATTAATTCTCATCATATTGTGAACTTTCACTGCAGGGTTTAATAGAGAGGGATTCACTTTGTGGGGGTGCTTTTCCACTGTATGTTCAAAAACAATAACAGGCCCAACATGAACCAACTAAACTTATGGTTCTAGTTGTAGTTCATTTTCCACCTGCTTTAGAGACAGCCTCAACTGTTTATAATAACCACACTTAATGATGTAAAGGTGTTTTTGGTCATTTTAGGTCACTCTAAAGCAATTCTAAAGCTAATTAGCTAACTTGCTTGCCAGTTAGCTTACTCTACTGGCTGATATGAAACCACATACTGCACTGTTATGTGCACACACTCACATACATATCTAAATTTACACAGAATCAGATGTAGAATCAAACAAAGTCTTTATTTTTCTCTTTTGAATGTGAAAATATGAGCAAAAACACTCCCTGGCTGCTAGCATAAATGCTAATAGCGTCAGCTGCTTATAGCTTATGTCGCCTTATGTTGAACACTCTACAGATTAATAATCCTAATAGCAAACATTCATTGTGTTAAAGTCTTCATCTGGAGTCAGTTTCGTGCCAAAAGTTTCAAATAAAATAATAAAATCCACAAGCAGAATATTAAGTATCGAAATGTCCAAATAATATTGCAAATACAAATGAATACCTCAGCATAAATGATTCAGAGTAAATGATTCACTAAATAGTCATTGGCTCCAGCTGCAACACAGAGGATCCATCACTAACATTATTAATACTACTTACAGCAGATCCACCTGCTTTAGACAGTAAAACATAAGTAAAATAAATCAATGTTTGGGTTCATTTGTACGATGGTGTTTTAGGGCCACTGTTAAAAAAAATAAAAATAGTAGACTTCGAGAATAAAGTCGTAATGTTTCGATAAAAGTAGAAAAAAACAAAAAAACAAAACAAAAAAAAATATATATATATATATATATATATATATATATATATATATATATGTATATATATATATATATATTTCGAGGATAAAGTGGGCTAACTGTAGCCATAACACGTTGGGGTCTCTGTTGCTGTACTGGTGCCGGAGCTCTACTCACTCCTGTGTATCGATCATTGTGATCATCAGTCTCATTGTCTGTGAAACTTCATGCCCTCTTTGAATGACACAGAGATGTAGCCACCGATAGCCACGTAGACGACACTGCCTGCGATTCTCCTTCAAAGTTTCCGAAATTTTTCTCGAAATACTATGACTGTTTTCTTGAAATAGTCTGACTTCATTCTCGAAATATTGCGACTTTATTCTTGAAATATCATACTGTACAATTTTTTCCTCTAAATATTGCGACTTTATTCTCGAAGTCTACTATTTTTATTTTTATTAACAGTGGCCCTAAAACGCCGTACATTTGACATTACAACCTCAAACACAAGATTTTACTGTTGTTGATAATGTTTTGTCTGTTATGTTTGTATATATTGTATATTGTGCTGTAAATTGACTTGCTGCCATGCTGACTGGACACAAGCTGTTCACTGCCGACCACTGTGTTTACAAACATTCTGATTTGGTCCATTAGGGATAGATGTTTTAACCATTTGTTATGGTTGAATATGCACAGTTTAAAAACTGGGTAAAAATCCTCCCTAAAATGTTTTAGCCATGTGTGAAACTACCAGCTGACCTACAAACTAATAACTCCTTCAAATTCTCACTGTACAAATTTGTCATTTTTGTTTTTTTGTTTGAAGTATTTCCATATATAGCTCTGATTAGACATACTTATTTGGTTATGTGTGAGCTTCATAAACATATTTGACATTGTTATGTCTTATTGGATGAGCTGAACCAAAACCCAGACTCACTTTGCTCTGCTTTAAGATTTATCTCAGCTATAACCATTTTTCTCACATCTCCAGCAGGAAACTTTTCCGCAAAAGTAGAGTAGTTTCTTGTAAAATGTCTCTCAACATTCGATGTTTTACAAGGCTGAAGTCGCTTCTCATTCGCCAGCTTCTTGTTCGAATTTTCCCGTTCCAGCTTAGATGGTGCCCGAGGCGCCCAAATGTAACTGAAGCACCATTTAAGGTGGAACAGGAAAATTCGAACAAGAAGCTGGAGAACAAGAAGCTGACTTCAGCTTCGCCGTATTTTAGTGTTTTTTAATGAAACGTATCAGGAAACCAGCTGGAGTGATTATAAACGCAAATAAGTCCATTAGTCTCTAAATGATTAATGTTTGTCTTAAATCTTTCTCTTTGCCTGTTTTGTTACAGTCTGTGCACCAACCTTCAGGGTTAAAGGTTGAATTAGCAGTTATACATCAACGCTAGCGTTTGTTAAATCTGTGTTAGAACGAACTATCAGAAAACCTTTATTTTACTGCAAAGGAGGATTATTTTATTTTTACCCACAAGTCTAATTCTGCTGTGCAGCCACAACAGGGCAGTAAAAGAGTTGACCCCTGATGCATTCAAATAACCATGGCCATCCCTTTGTTCAGGTATGCATTGTGCAAAAGAAGGACACGAAGAAGATGTACGCCATGAAGTACATGAACAAGCTGAAATGTGTGGAGCGGAATGAAGTGCGAAACGTCTTCAAGGAGCTCCAGATCATGCAGAACCTGGAGCACCCATTTCTGGTCAACTTCTGGTGAGTTCTGCATTGTATCTAAATGAACGTTTGTTCTAGAAGCTCAACAAAAGATGTTAAGAAACCTTAAAGGACCCACATTGTACATTTTATTTGTTTTTTTGAAATAGAAGAGTTCAAAACATTGTGAGTTCTCTCCCCAGTCCATACAGTCAACATATGGCGACAATTATAGCCTTTTATAGCCTATAGTTTTTAATTCATCATGACGTTGTGATGTCAAAACCATGATCACATTTATTTATGGCCACTTATTCAGTCTGTAGCAGTTTAGCCCTGCACATTCACATTGAAGTGCAGTGGTGGTACTGCGGAGAGTCTGTAGCAGAGTTATTGGAGTGGAAGATGTGAGGAAACGATAAAACGTTGTGCTGTTTCCGGCTGTCGGGAAGTAAATGAATCACCACAGCCATCTGAAGGATGCACACATCCGAAAGCATTGGCTGAAGTTTATTTTTTCCCATATCACTGAGGATTTCAGACTGAACTTAACAGTTTGTTCAGTACGTTTCAGACTGGACTTTTTGAACAAGGCTCAGTACAGGACAGCCAATCAGAACAGAGGTCATTTACATATATCTGTCTTAAGGGCACAGTAACAAAACAAACCGTTTAATTCTAAGTGATAAAAAGAGGGTGAAAAATAGTCATGTAAAAATAAAGTATGACTGTGAAACCACACAAATGTTGTAAGTGGAATTCCGGGGAAACAATAAAATACAGCAAAAACAGGACATGGACAAGACATTTCGATGTAAAACGATGTCCAGATGAACTGGGACAAAAATTTTTTTACTGTTATAGAATTTTCATTTATTTTAAATTCACTTGGATGGAATGAGCACAAAAATGTTATTGCAATCCAGTGAAGCACATATGCACAGATATAATAAGTAAGGTCCTTGATCAGATCCAGGGAACGTGTTACACTCAGTATGTGCTTTTAATTTGTAGTAAGCCTGGTTTGTTATTTGTTGTACATCTAATGAACTGTTAAATGAAATAGAAGTGGCTTTGCGTAAAGCTCTCACAGTGTAACAACATTCTTTATAAGACACAGGATCTCTAAATAAGACAAATGAGTCAATGCAAATTCAGGCAGCCAAATTGCCAGGTGCAGAATAAGCCTTTAAACAAGGCTTTTCAAATTGAGTAATGTTTTTTTTCTGAGGAAATTGAAAAAAATTGAGATATTTATGTGATGCAGAAGTTAGCAGAGAGGACTTGGGCTTGTTTACGCCTTGCATTAAGGGTACGTGTCCACCTCATATCTGGATATTCTTTGGCTGGGCTCTATTGATGCTTTTCACTAAAAGTGATTGGTGTGGCATAGTGAGAAGTGCTGCTACCCTCTGTGTGGTAGGCTGGGGTTTGATTCCCTGCCCAAAAAAGTGTGCCATGCCATGCTAAACCAAAAGTCTTGGGTATGACTCCACATTTAGTTACTAATTTCTGGGGTATAATTAAGTTGGCTTGACAAAGCAAACACCTGGGATACCTTAGTAATGGCTTAGCACAACCTTAGCAAGCACCTGGGATACCATAATATTGGCCTAGCAACACCTTAACAACCACCTGGGATACCATAATATTGGCCTAGCAACACCTTAACAACCACCTGGGATACGATAGTAACAGCTAAGCATTACTTTAGCAATCACCTGGGATACCATAGTAGCAGCCCAGCAACACCTTAGCAACCACCTGGGATGCCACAGTAATGGCCCAGCAGTACTTTAGCAACCACCTGAGATACCATAGTAACAGCCTAGCAACACCTTAGCAACCACCTAGGATACCATAGTAATGGCCCAGCAGCACCTTAGCAACCACCTGGGATATCATAGTAAAGGCATAGCAACACCAAAGCAACTGCCTGGGATACCATAGCAACAGCTAAGCATTACTTTAGCAGCCACCTGGGATACCATAGTAATGGCCTAGTAAAACATTAGCAACCACCTGGGATACCATAGCAACGGCCTAGTAAAACCTTAGCAACCACATTGGGTACCATAGTAAAGGCCTAGCAACACTTTAGCAACCAACTGGGATACCATAGTAAGGGCCCAGCAACACCTTAGCAACCACCTGGGATACCATAGTAATGGCCCAGCAACACCTAAGCAATTGCCAGGGATACCATAGTAGCAGCCCAGCAACACCTTAGCAACCACCTGGGATGCCACAGTAATGGCCCAGCAGCACTTTAGCAACCACCTGAGATACCATAGTAACAGCCTAGCAACACCTTAGCAACCACCTAGGATACCATAGTAATGGCCCAGCAGCACCTTAGCAACCACCTGGGATATCATAGTAAAGCATAGCAACACCAAAGCAACTGCCTGGGATACCATAGCAACAGCTAAGCATTACTTTAGCAGCCACCTGGGATACCATAGTAATGGCCTAGTAAAACATTAGCAACCACCTGGGATACCATAGCAATGGCCTAGTAAAACCTTAGCAACCACATTGGGTACCATAGTAAAGGCCTAGCAACACTTTAGCAACCAACTGGGATACCATAGTAAGGGCCCAGCAACACCTTAGCAACCACCTGGGATACCATAGTAATGGCCCAGCAACACCTAAGCAATTGCCAGGGATACCATAGTAGCAGCCCAGCAACACCTCAGCAACCACCTGGGATGCCACAGTAATGGCCCAGCAGCACTTTAGCAACCACCTGAGATACCATAGCAACAGCCTAGCAACACCTTAGCAACCACCTGGGATACCATAGTAATGGCCCAGCAGCACCTTAGCAACCACCTGGGATATCATAGTAAAGGCATAGCAACACCAAAGCAACTGCCTGGGATACCATAGCAACAGCTAAGCATTACTTTAGCAACCACTTGGAATAGTGTATCAATCACTTAATAATACCAAAGCAACCACCCAAAATACCCTAGCAACAGCCTTGCCACCACCTAGCAACCGCAGTAACAGTTGTTTTTGAACCTGATGCTTTTTACTCAGGTTGGTTTTTGCTTGGTCACTTTTTACCTCTGTTTGAGTCATTACTTCAATGAAGTAACAACACTTTTACCAGAGGATGATTTTTAGGTTACTTCATGCGCATCTCAAAAGCAGGAAGCTTCACAGCCGTGGACGGAGTTGAAGAAAGTGAGGAAAAAAGCTGCAACTGTGCTGAGGTTTCCGATTTAGGCCTCTAATGGCCTTAAAGTCTCTAATCTAATGAAAAGCTCGTATTCTCAGCTAGTTTCCTCCTTTGATTCATATGTCAGCTAACTGACCCTGATGAGTCTGAAGTTTCCCTTCGGAGGCCTCACAGAAAGCTTATGAGTCTCATTAGGAAAAGGCAGCAGAGTCATTAAAATCATCCTCAAGTATTATGGCTTCTCCTTTTCTTACTCTTTTAATGCCGACACAAAAAGTAGTTATTTCTGCATTTTAATCTACTCTTCTCCTCCGTGGTGTCTGAATGCTGCTGTTGCATTTAATTTGATAAGTACAGAACATGATCTAGCAAACCTGAAAAATTAATAACCCGTCATTTAGAACAAACAAACATGAATAAAATTATACATTGTATGTCCAAAAGTATCTAGACAGCCCCTCTGATTAGCGAATTCAGCTTCTTTACGATGCTCCCATTGAAAAGCATTGACAAATAGAGTAGGATGCTCCAGAGCAGCAGCACACATGCCCAGTGCCAAGCATTGAGTAGAGGGGTATAAAGCCCCCCAGCACTGGGCTGTGGAGCAGTAGATCTCTGGAGCGCTTTGCAAGCCCAATTGCGAGTCAGTTAAGCATGAGTTTAACTGGATTCGCGAGTCAGTTAAGCATGAGTCTGAGTCCAGTCGCAAGTCACTAAAGCATGACTCTGAGTCAAATCACGAGTCAGTTAAGTATGAGTCTGAGTCCAATCAGGAGTCAGTTAAGCGTGAGTCTGACTTCAGTTGCGAGTCAGTTAAGCATTAGTCAGACTCAAATCAGTCAGTTAAGTGTGAGTCTGAGTCGAATTGTGAGTCAGTTAAGCATGATTCCAAGGCCAATCGTGAGTCAGTTAAGCGTGATTCCAAGCCCAATCGTGAGTCAGTTAAGCATGTGAGTTCAATTGCGAGTCAATTAAGCATGAGTCCGACTCGATTCGCAAGTCAGTTCAGCGTGAGTCAAAGTCCAGTCGCGAACCAATTAAGCATGAGTCTGAGTTGAATCACGAGTCAGTTAAGTGCGAGTCCGAGTCGAATTGTGAGTCAGCTAAGCATGAGTCCGAGTCCAATCGTGAATCAGTTAAGTGTGAGTCCGAGTCAAATCGCGAGTCAGTTAAGCATGAGTCCGAATTGCATTGCAAGTCAGATAAGCATGAGTCCAAGACAAATCATGAGTCAGTTAAGCCTCGGAGTCCGAGTTGAATCGCCATCTCTGGTAACTAACAATAAATGCAGCTTGGAGCTTCTTTAATGCAGTGATAGGAAACACAGTAGTACACAGAAAGCTTTCACATGCTGATGCATTTTACTATGACCAACACGGACCAGTTCTAGACTTTAATACCTTAAACTGGACAAAAAGACGATTCCAGTCACACCAGCACAACGTTTGATAGGGTTAATACGCTTCTGTAAAGCTTCCAGGCTGCTATTCTTCCTGTGCTTCTGTCTGTTTGCGGTGCAACATCATTCTAAGCAGTCGTAGTCTGAATGGCTAAATCACCCGGCCTTAGATCAATGGCAGTCTTTTAATTACGATTTTAAGGACAATAAGCAGAAACGTCTGGCAGCCAAGGAAAGAAGAATGGCCTCTTTGGACGAACAGCATTAGATGCCGGAGGGGCCGTGTTCAATTCAATAAGAAAAAGCCCTGTGAATGTTAATGCACTTGGCAGCATTTCCCCCCACTCACCACCTTCACGAGCCGTGCTGCGTTCAGCTCCGCGGATGAGCAGAGCGACTACGACTGTCCGAGTTAGCCGCGCTGAAGGTCAGCGATGATGTGGGAGATTAGCAGCAGCTGTAAAGCTCTCT